ATATAAAAGTTGGTTCTGGCCCTACTCCCCCTGTTGGTTATCAGGTATGGACATGGTGATTAAAGTTAAAATTGTAACTAAAACAGTATTATGCTTTATTCCAGCCATAACAAACAAACAGAACAACAGGACTTTTACTGTGTTTGGACTAGGACTGATGTGAGACAAAAGTTACAACTTTTCGTCCATCTGAAAAAAGTGGAAAAGACATGAATGAAAATGGCCCTATAAATCTTGTGTCTGATATCATATCATTGTTGCTGATTTCAGGTGGCTGCAAACTATGTAGCAATGGTTCCATCTGGACAAGTATTCGACAGGTCATTTGCTGACTGAACTCTTGTTATAAATTTGTATCTGTGAGTACAATGATCGACACTTGTATCATTAATTAAGAACCCTGTTACCAATACCACCTACTCGTTTTGTTTTCCATTGTTTTCATATGGAATTTTTATAGTTGTAAGTTTATAAGTTTGTTTGGTAAGAGAAAATGGTTTATGGCCTGCCTACATGTGAGTGAAAATGGTTTTCAAAATCAATGATAGAATTTTGTATTTTTGTATAGTTTTCAAAACAAGCCAAGGGATGGAATCTCAAATTCCAATTCCACGAACCAAACCAAACCAAACACTCCCTTATTTTTGGTTATCAACAACAATTGTCCAGTAATCTATTCTTTGGCTTTCCATACAACATGCCCTTCTCTTTCTATCAGCAATCAGATATCAGATATCAAGTCACATGTTGATGTGTGTTTTTTTTTTTTTTTTTTTTTTTTATTTTTTTTATTTTTTTATTATTATTATTATTATTTTTTTTATAAGTTGTCATTTCTCCTTTGGCTTCTACTGAAGTAGTTAGGTTCTTGGAAAATTTCAGCTCTCTGGAAAAGCGTCAGGTTTACATATTTCGTGTTGGCTCAGGTCAAGTAAGTTCCATTTGGTTTTTCTTTTTTTGTTAACATAAGCTGAAATGGTTTCGTTTGGTTTGTAACATTGTACTCTGTTTTATCAATGCCTAAATGCAAGAAATAGAAATGAACTTTCCAGTTTTCCTATTGATTGTAACATTGTACTTTCATTTTCTTTATTGCAACATTGTACTTTCAAGTTTCAACTTATTTCTGATTACAGCATTGTACTTTGAATTTTTTTTGCAATTAGAGCGATCGGTAATCATGGTAGATTTTTCAAAGTACAATTGCCTTATACATTTGGATTTTAGAGCAATTGAAAATAGTATACTATGTTTTAATAAGAAATTTTTTGATCTTTCATTCTTTTAGTTTTTGGCATATTTAGTCCCTCAAGTGTCGAAGATGTTCCGAAACTAAACAGCATTATAAGCTAGCCCTGTTTTAGCCCTTTGTGTTACCACCATGGAATTGGATAGTGACTGAAATCGCTGAATGCAGGTTGTTAAAGGACTCGATGAAGGGATTCTAAGCATGAAGGTTGGAGGAAAACGTCGACTATATGTTCCAGGATCTGTAAGTTTGTTTATATATATATATATATATATATATATATATATATATATATATATAATATATATATATATATATATATATATATATATATATATATATATATATATATATATATGCTACAATTGACAACAAGAATTGGTTTCTTCTTTTTAGAAAAAAGTGAAAAACAGATAACATTATTTAATCATAATAAGGTTTTGTTTCTTTTTTACTTAATGGGGATAAGATTTAATCTAATAAGCTATAAGAGTGTTTCTTCTTCTTTACTTGATGCAAAAAAACAACATAATAGATAAATGCGATTTACCCAATAAGTCCTAACTTTTTACAGATTTGACGTAATTTACCCAAGTCTGTCGTGATTTTCTCAAATATCTTCTTGACCAGCCTTAACATGGCCCAAGTATTCATAACTAGCCTTTTGGTGATAAAAAATCCATGCCGTGTTTTTAGAAACTTTAATTGATAATTTTTATATAAACAATCTATTTATTGTCAACGTTTGGTCTTTATTTGTGTTAGGTTTTGGTCTTTAAAAACCATTCATAGTGACGATGAGATGGGGCATTGTGTTTAATTAAAGAGTGAACCAGTTGGTCCAAAAGTGTTGGATTCCATGGATCAACAAATACCCTCTTTTCTTAGAACATAGTTTCATTGATTTGCTTATTATATTGTATCCCAATCTCATTTCCTCCAATTACAAGATTATAATTTGAAAAATCTATTCAATTGATACAATTTAATATTTATTGGCATAATGGTAGATTTTGAAAAGTATAAGAAAAAAATTGAAAGTAAAAATGCTATAACTAGGTAAATTTTTTAATAACAAAAATTTAAGTACAATGTTGTAGTAAAAAGAAATGAGTGTATTATGCGATAATTAATAAATAAATAAAAGTAGGATGATATAATTATGAGAAATTATATATCCTTCTACTCATTTGAAATGATGACAAGTGTATTAAAATATTATTAATCTTATCCAAAATATGACACGTGTCACAATTTTATATGGGCAGCATGGTAAGTAGGAACAAAAAATAGAAGGATATTTAATTTCTCTATAATTATGTGATTTTTGTGTTGATGTAGTTGGCATTTCCCAAGGGCCTAACTTCAGCTCCAGGACGGCCTAGAGTCGCTGCAAATAGTCCTGTCATTTTCGATGTGAGTTTGGAATACATACCAGGTCTTGACGATGAAGAAGAAGAATAGTAATATGAAATATATACTATTACTACCTACTTTTTGTCATGTCCATAGTATGTTTGTTTATAGAGCTCACCCTGAAAGGAAAATACTCGAATACAATCTTCCTAATTTACCCTTCCTTCTCTTTTGATCATCCCGTAAAAGGTTGTTATGCTAAAATGTATCTAATCATGGGCAAAATCATCTTTTTTATTTGTAAAGTGAACTTATCGTTTTGTATATGTATTTTTACGGGGTATAATATCAAACGAAACATGGATTCACTATTGTGTCTTCAAAAATCAAAATCAATTCAACAAGGTGCTAACGGTAAACTTAGGTTTTCAGTCGATCATAATTCTATAATATAATAAAATAATTAACTATATGTTATTAAAAATAACAATATTGTTATCATTTAACTTTCAAGTAATAACTGATAAATTTTTTTTAAAAATTACCCTACTTAGATTGAACGTTCTGTAGATCCTTGCATTTGCAAGTGACCTTTCAAGATTGTCTTTTTACCACAACAACCCTCAAAACAATGTCCACAGACTTGAAGAACATTGGTGGGTTGACCCACCCTGATAAAGCGGCATTTCGGTCCACTCGTACAAGACCAAAATTGTCTATCAGGTTTAAAGTTCAGCCATGATTTAAATTTCCACCAACAAAAATGACAATTTCTTCGATTTTTTGGTAGCAGTTTTGGTCGATCGCAAATAAAAAATGGGGAAGTCTAGGGAAGAAATGATATTGAAAACATTATTGAAGAGAAAACATTGGGAGGAAATAGAGATAAAATGACGAAATTGATCCTCATGTGAGGGCGCATGATGTTATTTAATGGGCTATAATGGACAACATTTAATATAAAAGAAATTAAATTACCTCATACTTTTAAACATGCAAATATTTTTACCCACTAAAATTATGATAAGTGTCAATCGTTCCACTATTTTTTTTTTTTTTAATTATCTCATTAAGGATATGTTAAGGGCACCAAATAAAATTAAATTCAATGATCGAATGATGATATTTGTTATAATTTTAGTGGGTAAAAATAGTTGTAGGCATAAAAGATAGGAGGCAATTTGATTTCTCTTAATATAATATAGTGCCCAACCATACAAGTTTTGAGGATGCTACATTTTAACTTTTCAAAACTTAGACTATACTTGTCAAGTTTTGAGGATGCTACATTTCTATGATCCTTGATGCGTGTTTGGATCGCTCCAAAATCCAATCAACACGACTCCGATTTCTAACACCACAAATGCTTCAAATATGGAGCTTGAAACCTCAAATGGTATATATCTAGACAATGAAAAAACACAAAGAGCAAAGATCAATGATGAGAACAAAGAACAATGACAAGAACAAAAATAACAAAGGGATAGTGTGAAAATCAAACTAGACTTATAGTTTAATACTTCGGTGAAAAAAAATCAAGACCTATTGGTTCGAGTTCGGTGAAAACAAGTTAAGACCTATTAACTTGAGTTCGAAATCAAAATTAAGATCCACGTCCCAATAAAGATCGGTTTTAAATTGTATGCAACAACTCGAATGAACAACAGTTCAATTTTATATCATCAACATAACACACTAACTCTTACAAATGACAATTGCTTTATATAGCCTAACAATCTAACGGTAGAAGAAACTAAAAGACACCTAATTAACTATGCCATTTAACGGATTATTAAAACTAGTCATAAAGATTTTATTAAAGAAACCATTTCCAGCAATAAAAAGCGTCTCTTGAGTTTCTGAGGCGTCCTTTCGACTTCTGAGGCTTATAGTTCTAAGGTCAGCACGCAGACTCCTCATTCACATCCAACTCTCCCGGAATGACAATCACAACCAAACTCCCTCCCATAACGAACGACATCATCATCTCCTGTCGACCCTTCTCACTCAAGTTTGTACCACAATCGCATCCCAAAGCTTCGCATCTCACAGTTAGTTGTATTCACATTCAACAGCTTAGCACCCAGGTAACCTATCGCATCCATGTATTGCATTGGAACCGGGTAGTCCATCGATACCAACAATGTGCAACAAGTAGCCTATCAGAACCAAACACCTTCAAGCCCATCGGAATACCCTTCATCGCAACTAAGCCCAATCAGAATGCAAACGTCCACAAGAACCAAATCTGTCGGAATGAAAGATGTATTCAGAATCACAACTGAGAATCGTAATTAAGCAACCTCCAACTGTTCGCAATCGCATCACATTGAATCCCATTCACAATGAACACTGCCAAACAACCCCGATGCGATCCATCGTTCGCAACAATCCACTAGTCGCAACCTATTGTAATGCAAACTGAAGTTTCTGTTGGAGAATCGTCTTCCAAAAGCTTCTGATCCTTCTTATCCCGCCTCCTTTGCCAATCACAATCAATCGTAGTTGGATTGGAACTTGAACTTGGAGATTGGCAATCCAAATTCGTATCAATTCCTCCCTCTTCAAAAAGAATTGCCCTTAATTCAGAAAGGTCATCGTTATCGAGATATGATGAAAAAAAGTCAATCTTCCTCCAACAACTCTAGGAACTTGCTGAGTTCAACCCTAACCCTGGCTTAAATTTGTGGAACAAAGTCCATCTTCCTATATCCCCATAAGCATTAGGACCATCAACACTTCCCAAAATCATGGCTTCCTAATTTACAGCAAACCACAAGAATAGAAGTCCAAACATCACAAATTTCTTCCCATGTAAATACTTGGGATTTGGACGCCTTCGCCATGAACACTATTTGGAACTTCCCCATATTGTCTTTTGGAGGGTACAAAATAGAGACAACAACATAAGGGTTCACATGAACATAACCTCTGCCTCCTTTGATGGAAACACACCTTGACATCCCACAAGCAAATATACCTTTGGGTCTTCTTCTAGCACATTTGGTCCCACCTTAGGATTCTCCTTAACCACAACCACATTTTCGGGATCAAGAACCTGCTCCATCTCTTCTACCTTTTCAAACTTTTCTTCAACTTCTTCATCTTTCAACATGAAATTGAAAATTTTAATTTCATCCTCCCCAATTTCATCCTCAACCAAGAAATTTGTAATGACCCAAAAATCAGAGGTGAAAATTTCATTTTTATTATAGCTAAAACATTGATACCATTTATTCCAAACATGTAAAATCCTTATTAAATAAAACATTTATCAGAGTTCGTCCCAAAATCATTCATTGCAAAATCATAGGTGTGTGCATTGCGATCAATTCGAGCCCTTTATTTCCAAATCGGTGAAACCTGAAACCAAAGCTGTAAACCGTAAGCACAAAGCTTAGTGAGTCCCCCAAAGCATACCCCACACACACAATCCACATAACATATATCGTGTTAGCTGTACAAGCTATCTCTACCGTTAGCCACAAGGGCTATCTCTACCATCAGCCATAAAGGCTGTCTCTACCATCAGCCACAAGGCTATATCTACCATCAACCATAAAGGTTGTCTCTACTATCAGCCACAAAGGTTGTCTCTACCATCAACCACAAAGGTTATCTCTACCGCATATCATGCATACATACATATCACACGCCTCTACATAGCAAGTATACCAATTATCATAAAATTAGCCAATTAAAGCTACACACATATCACATAAGCCATGAATACATAAAACCTGTAAGAATGCCATAGGCTACCCCATATGGTCTTTACCTAGGACTACCATGGGCTACCCCACATGGTCTTACATCAAATGCCATGGGCTCCCCTACATGGTCTTTACCTAGGAATGCTATGGGCTACCCCACATGGTCTTATATCCAATGCCACGGGCTCCGCCTAGGGTCTTCTATACAAAAACACACAATCACATATCATAACAAATCGCATATCATATCAAATCACATAATGACCAACGTATATAACATAATCACATAATGGATAGGACTTGGTGCCTTAGACCCATAGGTATGGTGAGAAGACTCACTTGACACTGCTGAAGCCCCACAAATAAAGCTTTTTATCTCCCCTTGCTGGTTGACAAATTCTTGAACTATCAACATCAAACAATACCCAATTAATAACTGGGTTCCAACACATAACCCTAACTCTATACTTAGGGTAAAAGACTACTTTACCCTAACTCAACTTTATTCAATACAAGGCCTAATTCAAAGCCCAAAAGCCAAACCATGGACCAAAGCCCAACACATGGCCCTATTTTCCAAATTGGGCCCAAACCTTTATTATAATCTTATCTTAAGGCCCAACCACTTATTCCAGTCCAAATAATTGGCATTCTGATGGTCCAATAGCTAATAGTCCTCAAGGCCCAATTATGGCCTAATTTTTCCAAATTGGGCCCAAGCCTCTCTAATGAGTCCTATCCTAAGGCCAAATGATTTCCTTAGTCCATAACATGTTCCCAATTGGCCCATTAAGGCCCAAATCCAATTTTAGGGTTGCTCACATAAAGTATCGATTAGGGTTAAGTGTTCATTCTTAACCCATTAAGGGCTTAATCCATTAAGTCCATTATTGCCTTAAGTTCATTTACCAATGATTATTAATTAATATTTTTAAATTCATTAAATAATCTTTATGCGGTCCCGATAAGTCCCAAATTTGGGTTTCGTGACATTAGAGTTTTCCAAACCCTAATTAGGGTTTCCAACCCATCTTAGACCAATAGGCCCAAAGCCAAATCATTAAGCCTATTAGGGTTTCAACATCCAATTGAATCAAACACAGTCATGCAAGCTCACCGCCACCCGACACGGCGGCCGGTGGCGGCAGCCACCACCTCACGGTGGTGGTTGGGGTTCCTTTCTTTCATTATTCCATTTTCTATTACATTTTACACGACTTTTGTCCCAAAATAACACACACACACACACTAAACTAGCATACACACACATATAACCACATGGTGGTGGCTGGTGGTGGCGAGTGGTGGCAGTGGGGTCTTTCTTCGGATCTCCGGCCAAGCAAGGCTCGTGCAACCTCAACCATCACAACATACGGGCACAAACACCACCATGCCCACTTCTAGCCGCGAACGAGCCCAACCGTAAATGGAAATCGGAGGGGCGTTTACGGTGGTGAGGAATGGTGATAGTCCACCAAAAACCGCAATCACAATAGCCACAGAAGAGGAAGAGGGCACAACTGGTTTTTGTTTGACATCGGCGATGAAGGTGTACTATGATGGCGACAACGACGACACACGACAGGTCCAACCATGAACGGAAGTTAAGAAGTGAGTACATGGTGACAATCCGTCATTGAGACACGACCATAGCAACACCATAACCTCCAGTAGCAGCAACGACGTTTCTGACATCCAACACCGAGAGAAACGACAAGGAAGAGAGAGAGAGAGATGGTGGTATAATGTTATGACGACTGTCCTCGATGTTCACGGCTTCGCCGGCGGTAGCAGCCACAACGGGGCGTCTCGGTGGTCCTCCGACTTCAACAAGCAAGGGATGATGATCGATGATGGAGGGGTTCGTGAGGTGTGCGACCACAAACGGAGAGATAAGGTGGGGTGGCGGCTGATTCTTTCACTTAGGGTTAAGGTTTAGAACCCTTAAATACGCGCTCCATATTAGAAGTTTGCCATAATGGCAGAACTGGTCGCTCCCCATAAACACTTTTGCAACAAAGGCCCAAATTTTACTCTTTATACCCCCGCTCCCCCAATTCCTTTCATTTTAAGTCCGAAATTTACCTTTTTAACCCAAGCTCCTGAAATCCTTTACAATTTAAGTCTAATACTTACCAAATAACCCCTTGGCCTCCAAAATCTTTTCAAAATAAATTCCAAAATTACTTTTTAACCCCCGAATGATCAGATTGATAACATTTAGCTTCTTAAAACCATTAATCCCGTAAATAATATGAATTTATTGCGACTACTCGTTCATCAAATTCTATCTATTTATTTATTTATTAAACAGGATGTTACAACTCTCCTGAAACATCCCAAAAATACAAGCCAAAAATTTTGTTTGAAAACAGTACTAAAACCATAATATCCACACATCATAAAAGAAAATCATAAGTTGTGTGTCTTAAAATGTCATAAAATATGTCTCATATCACAATTGATGTCAAATCATGTCAAAAATATCAGAGTCTAACTCCCAGGCTAAAACTGTGGTGGGTGTCATGCTATCATCCCGAGCCCTTCCCCTTGCTAGCCGAAGTACCTGAAACCAAAACTGAAACTGTAAGCACGAAGCTTAGTGAGTTCCGGACCAAACTACCACATACCATACAATAACATATAAAGCACATATTGGGCCTTACCCACTGCATCAGACCGAAGTCCGGAACTGACTAGGGCCTCGCCCACTGTACCGGACTGAAGTCCGGAACTAACTAGCGTCTCACCCTCTGCATCAGACCGAAGTCCAGAACTAACTAGGGCCTCGCCCTCTGCATCAGACCGAAGTCCGGAACTAACTATGTCACAACTAGAAATTTTGTGTCTTGTAATCACTATACTTAAGTAAAACATTGAACCAAAAACTTAAGATCATGTGTGATGCCTTCAAAAACTTCAATCAAATGCTTCATACAAGTACTACAAATAGTCAACAAGTAATTGGAAACCCTAGAAGTTCTTGTTTAGGTCAATTTTGGACTAGGACTTCCTTATTGGACTCAATGGACCAATAAGCTTCCAATTTGACTATCATGGGCTTAGAACCCTTAAATGGGCTCTAATTGGACCCACATACATTTATTTCAACCTTTTGGGCCATATTGGGCCTAAAATGGAATAAACTAAAAGTTTTGCACCATGATTAACCTAAACTAGCCTAACAAAGTGTGAAAATCATATTATATTTTTTTGGAACAAAAATCATCCAACTTAACTTCTACATGGGCTTGAGGGCATAAAAGCCCAAATTTTCCCTTTTCCTTCCAAATTCTCGGCCCAAGGCCCAAACCCAAGAAGAGATGAAGAGAGTTGACTTGCAATTGACACCTCATTATTGTCTTTTGGATCTCCATGCAACCTATTCCATGTTTCCATGCATATCACCTCAAGGGTCTATTTCTACCTCTCTTTCTCTTGCTCTCGGCCATTTCAAACACACACACACACACACACACCTCATAAATTCTCTCTAGAATACTTAAGAACTCATCCTTCCTCACCATTCAAAAATCTCGAAAATTAAGAGGCTTTCAAGAGGATATTTCTACAAACTCTTCATCTAAGGTAAGGTTATGCTTGGATCTATGACTTAGATTCTTTGTTTTATCAAAAATCTCTTCCTAATCCATGCAAAAATCGTGATCTTGCATCCTAGAACCACCTCAAACTCGAGATCTTCAAGAAAAGGGTGCTAAGGCCAAAAATCACCAAGCTTTCTTCCATCTTTTCTTCAAAAACCGAAACCACACCCTAAGGTGAGCTTCATACTCCCTATCTTTCGGTTTTATAAGTTTTGTGGGGAAGGGGAATACAAGTGAAAGTGTAGATCTATATGTGTTTTGTATGCCTTGTATGATTTCTATGCTTATATGTGTGTTTTTGTGTGTTTATGATGTTGGATCTAACATAAGCCCCTAAAAATCGAGATATACTTAATGTTAAACAATACTAGCATCAAATATATTTCTACATACAAATTATTCCAAGAAAAATAGCTAAATGGCTTAATAACATCTTCTTTGGGCTAAAAACTCAATTTTTGGACATAAAATGTTAAAAATATAAAGTTAAAGGGCCCAAAATGACATATTACGAATTCTGATGGATGAGAAGAGTCAAAACAGTTTCAATAAAGTATTTTCTGGAAATATACTCTTTTGGAGGGTTGAAAATATAAATTCCAAGCTTAATGGGCTAAAAATGACATTTTCGGCCCAATAGGGCCCAATATGCGAAATTTTCTGTTTTGAAGGGCCAAAACTGTATTTTTCTGTAAAACAGTGGACTATTAGTGTTCTAAGTCCTTTCCAAGGTTAAAAATGCTTTTCATAATTAAAGAGGACCAAAGTTGTAAAATTTTCCAATTTGGGCCAAAAAT